GGTGGTAGGCTCACAGATGCCTGGTTTACATAGTTCTAGGACATCAAAGGCTGCATAGAGACACATATTTCATATCTGAATCGTTTTGTGTTTTTCTTTAAAACAACTATGAATAACTAGAATTGTATGAATTAAAATATATTTGAAGGGTGATTAACATGTAGGAAGGCTGGGCAGTGGTGGCACCCGCCTTTAATCCCAGCACTTGGGAGGCACAGACAGGTGCCTGTCTCTGTGAGTTTGAAGCCAACCTGGTCTACAGAGTGAGTTCCAGGACAGTCTCCAAAGCAGGAAACAAATGGAGGTGGGGTATGGGGAGTGTGTGGGGGAAGCATGTAGTCAGAGGTTAAGAGCACTAGCAGCTGTTCCAGAGGTCCTGAGTTCAGTTCCCAGCAGCCACATGCTGGCTCACAACCATCTATAATGAAATCTGGTACCCTCATCTGGCCTGCAGGGACACGTGCAGGCAGAACACTGTATATATAATAAACAAATCTTTAAAAAAAAAGACAAAACAAAACTAAAAAACATGTAGTCAGATTATTTATCTTTGGGAATGCTTTCATTTTCAATGGTGCAAAATAGCTAATCAAGAAAACACCTTTTGAGATTATTTTAATTTTTACATACTTTTTTGGATCTGAAGATGGTAAACTGAGTATATAGGAGTGAGCTTGAATGTTGGTCTGAACTACCCAGAATTCTTACTTATTAGCTATTATTCTGACTTAAGAGCACTCCTCCTTTATGTGATGATGTATAAAAGGGTGCTACAGAATCGATCTGTCCTTTAAATATTCTTTTCATTCAGTCACCTGTGCAGTGATTTTTAGTCATCTTTTTCAATTTTTCATACAGTATATTTTGGTCATATTTTTTCTCACTTTTTGACTACTCTTGATCTCTTTCTTTCTTTCTTTTTGTTTTTGTTTTTTTTGTTTTTGTTTTTTGAGTCAGGGTTTCTCTGTGGCTTTGGAGCCTATCCTGGCACTCTCTCTGTAGACCAGGCTGGCCTGGAACTCACAGAGATCCACCTGAGTGCTGGGATTAAAGGCGTGTGCCACCAACGCCCAGCTCTTGATCTCTTTCAAAGCAAGGTTTCTATATGTAATCTTCCCACGTTTCCTAACTTACAATTTAATCATAATTGTTAATTTTACAATTCATCATTTTGGTGCTATTTTCTTTGGTGCTTAGTTTGGTTTTAGGGTCTTTTTCATTCCATTTTATTTAAATTAGATATATAGATTTTTCATTCATATTTGGTGACTAGGTGCATAATTTATGCTATTTGCTAACGTAAAGATACTATGGATAGACATTGTTCCCATTGTATTTTTAATACATTTTAAAACTGACTATATGTGGAGTTTATTTTAAGCTATTTACTGCTGGGTTACTTGTCTGTGTTTCTTTGATAATCACCCAGCTTATTCCCTTATAAAGTTTGAATTCATGTTACTTTAGTTAGATGCCCTTCTAAAAGAAAGACTTTATTATTGTCACACCAAAATGAATTGCTTTTTCATAGAATTGTCTTATGAAAAAGATGGGTTCTTAGAATCATAGATTCCAGGAAGTGCTCTTAGAATACTATGCTGTAGTAAAGTAACATATATAAGGAAATCCTGTTTTAGTGTCTTGTATGCATCATCTGCTTTACTTTGTTGAATCTCTATAACATACAGATGATAGTTTTTTTATTTATCTTATTTTATGTATATGACTTTTGCCTGCATGTGTTTATGTACACTACCACATACATTCTTGGTGCCTGAGAACGCCAGAAGAGGGTGTCAGATCCTCTGGAACTGCAGGTACAGGTGGTTGTAAGCCACCATGTAGGTACTGGGACTTGAACCCAGATCCTCTGTAAGAACAGCCAGTGTTCTTACCTGTTGAGCCATCTCTCTGGCCCCTATAGTTAAATTTAAGATAACTCAAGAACTTGTATTACAGATTTTCATCTGCTGATGGTTAGGATTTCAGATTATTTTCCATTTGGTTCGTATATTAAAGAACATGACAAGGTGGAGTATGCCTGATTTGCTCTTTAAGCATCCGTAGTCAATAGAGATTGTGGAGCATTTCCTGTGTATCTAAATCATGTATAAGCTGCGGTCTTGCTGCTTGGGGAAGCATTTCTTGACACTGGTGCATATCTACACCCTTTTCCAAAGGATGTCGCTATTAGACGTGCTCAGCTAACAGCTTGCTTGTGATTTCTGTCCCAGTTCACCTCTATTGGGTGCTGTACACTGATTTCTTGTTCTCTCCTTTAATTTGTTAAATTTAATATTTCATACCTTCTAGCTAGCTCTGTTAGAACTGTACTAGCAGGGCCAGGATTGTAGGTCATTGTTAAGAGTGCTGGCCTCGGGGGCTGAAGAGATGGCTCAGAGGTTAAGAGCATTGACTGTTATTCCAGAGGTCCTGAGTTCAATTCCCAGCAACTACATGGTGGCTCACAACCATCCATTATGAGATCTGGTGCCCTCTTCTGGTGTGCAGATATACATGGAAGCAGAATGTTGTATGCATAATAAATAAATAAAATCTAAAAAAAAAAAAAAGAGTGCTGGCCTCACATGTCTTAGGCCAGGCTTTGATCCCTAGCACCACACACATACCAAAAATGAAGTCAAAACAATAAACTGATAGCAGTAATGGCATTATAATTGAACGTAAATGTAGGAAATACCAAGTAGAAACACTTGAAGAATTGAAGCAAGGAGGTCCAGAAACCTTTTTTCATAGAGTATTTAGAAACAGAACTTGATTGTAATTTGGTAACTTTGGTATAGTTTTAAACTTTAAATATGTAATTAGAAAAAAGCTATATATAATACTTCTGTGTCCTAATAATGCAAGCATTACAGTTATCTAAGAGTATTTTCTTTTTTTAAGATTTTATTTATTTATTATATATACAATATTCTGCTTCCATGTATATCTGCACACCAGAAGAGGGCACCAGATCTCATAACGGATGGTTGTGAGCCACCATGTGGGTGCTGGGAATTGAACTCAGGACCTGGAAGAGCAGTCAGTGCTCTTAACCTCTGAGCCATCTCTCCAGCCCCTAAGAATATTTTCTTAAAGTTCAACCCTGAGATACATAAATGGAGTTGTAAAATTAGAATACCACTTATATTAGTGCATTTGTTTCCTATGAGTTATAGTTAGAAAGGATAAATGGAAAGCTGAGGGGAATGAAAATTAAAACTTCAAATTCCGTTCTAAGAAGTTATAGAAGAATACTAATTAAAGTAACACTGAAAGTATAACAAATGGGCTAGAGAGCTGGCTCAGTGGTTAAAAGCACTTGTTGCTCTTGAGGAGGACCCAGTACCCACTTGATGGTTCATAACTATCATAACTCCAGTTCCAGGAGATCCTATATACTGATACTCTCTTTCTGACCTGTAAGGGCAATAAGCACACATGTAGTGCATATACATACATAAAGGCAAAACACATTTTAAAAACCTAGTAAATTTAGCTGGGCAGTGGTGGTACATGCTTTTAGTCCCATTACTCAGGAGGCAGAGGCAGGCAGATCTCTTGAGTTGAGGCCAGCCTTGTCTACAGAGTAAGTTCCAGGACAGCCAGGACTACACAGAGAAACACGCCCCCCCCAAAAAATAGTCTAATAAACTGTTTAAAAAATACAACAACAAACATAACAAAAAGAAGCTGGCTGTGGTGGCACTGTTTAAAATCCCAGGAAATGAGGGCAGAATTAAACCTTGTCTCAAATACAAATAAGGGACCAGCAAGATGGCCCAGTGGATACAGGCACTCTCCACTAAGCATGATACCCTGAGTTCAATCCCTGGGGTGTACCAAATGTAAGGAGAGAACTGACACATTGTGGCCTCTGACCTCCACATGTATGCCTAGTCACCACCCTGTCCCATTTCCCTACCCCCATAAGTAATAAAATTTGAAAATGACAGCAACAAGGGGAGCTTTGTGAAGCACATATTCATTTAAGGGCTGCTCGTTCGAAGTAATTCTAGTAGAACTAATGTGATTATGGCTAACTTTAATGCTAATCCCTTTCTCTGCACATGTATACTGAAGAATAAAGGAGAAAATTAAAAACAAAAGCAAGCTGTCTGGACATTGTGGCTCCTGCCTGTAATTCCAGCCCTGGGAGGCAGAGATGGACAGGACCAGCCTAAGCAGCATCACAAATCCCTGACTTGAAATAGCTCAGAGATGGAAAGTGCAAGGCTCTAGGTCATTCCAAAGTATTACCCACAAAATATGCAAAGTAGAAACAAAAGCTCTAATATATATTCAGCCTGTGCTATTATTTTAAGTCAGTGGTTCTCAGCTTTCCTAATATTGCAACCCTTTAATACAGTTCCTCATGTTGTGGCCCCCAACCATAAAATTATTTTGGTTGCTACTGTTAGAATCATAATGTAAATATCTGTTTTTTGATGGTCTTAGGCGACCCCTATGAAAGGCTCTTTGGACATCCCTTCTCCTACAGTGTTGAGAATCACTGCTTTAAGTCATCTCTATTGGAAATACAAACTGTTCATCTCAGTATGGATCCTTGATGTTCTAACAGTTTGGAATGTTGTAGTCATTTTTTTAGTGGATAGGACTTTTAACTTTTCAACATTCTGAAATTCTAAGCATATAAACTTCATGATTAGTGATTGTTAACGTCAGTTGAATGACTGGGGCATATGTTGTCAGGTAATGTTTAAGAACAGCCTCCTAGGAATATGTAGGGGATGCATGTAGCAGCTTCAGATTTCCTTGTTCAGTGTATGAATGTTTTAAGAGTACATGGAGATCATTTTTAACTCAGCAATTATCTGTGTAATGCATATATTTTAAATATAGAAAGCATAAGATTCAATCTTATAGAAAAGCAACCCGAAATATATGTAGGATGTTTATATGAGAGATGCTATTTTAAGTTCCGTTCTTTGGTGAGCCCTGCTGTGAACTGCCAACTGTGTGCATGTGTATGAAAGGTTAAAAGCCCGTGTAGCTGAGTGGGGTGCCATGCTGTTAGCAGACGACGAAGGCAGTATTACTCACCAGGTGCACGCCGTCAGCTCTGTAGAAGATTCCATCTTCATGGAGTCATCTCATGGTCAGCTTTTTCTTGACAACAGGTAACAGTTCCCACCACCACTGGGTTGACCTTGTTGGAATCTTCCCAGCTAGAAAAACTGAAATTTCAATGTTCTCTTCCCTAACCCTTTAAAAAAACAAAACATTGCCTGTTGGAAGAATTAACTTGCAATGTAGAATAAACCTGTGTTATCACTTTGCTTTGTAAAAAACGTAACTGAGAAGAGACTGCTGGTGAGAACTTGATGTGGAGTGCATGTGTTGTTTGGCTGTGGTGACCAGCATGGAATACTGGCTGTGTTGCAGTGGTTTCTAGAGAAGAACAGATTACATTTTCTGAGACTAATCCAAACAGTCTGTAACTATCACCAAGGCTAAGTAGTTGTGTACAGTTTGAACTCTTAACTCGTTTGCATATGACAGCATTTTGGTCTTTTAATATCTGACTTTTGCTTCAAATCTGCCTAATTGTAAAGTAACCAAGACTGTCTCACTAAGCTCTTAATTCTGGAGGTTTTTACATCACCTCAATTGTGTGCACTTAACCAAGAAGCAAGCCTAATTCTTTTCATGGGCACTTAAATAAAACGTCCTAGCCATTGTTTTAAACTTTATCCTCTTCATGGTAAGCTGTCATACTTGAGACACCTGAGGGTGCTTAGCAGTGTTATTAACTGAGCATGCTCACAAACTCAGTTTGGGTGTTAGGCTGTCCCTGTTCTTGTTGTGTATAATATAGCTTCATTTGTATCATTACCTTTTGATGCATCATATTCCATCATGCCCTTTATTTGGTGTCATTATCACTGCCTGTCTAACATCAAGGTTTGTTGGTTTTAGTTTTAGTTTTTTTCTGTTCAATTAGCAGTAACCAATCTAATGCAAGCTGGTCAGTCTTCCCTTCCTCTTTGGGGAGAATTTCGTAGAGGGGGTGAATTTTTTATAAGTCTCAAGTTTTTCACATATTAAGCATTGCTCTTGAGACAGTATTATTGACACTTGTCAATTCACTGCTTACAAGATAGTTTTTGACTCCTGAGTATAGAAGAATTTGTCTTACATTTCATGAATATGACCCTCAGAATTGTGAGACTCCAGCCTAATTCTCATTTTGAAGGACTGTGGTGACATTAAAATGTACTCAGCTAATTTATCTAACTTTATTTCCCATGTGACAAAAATATATAACATTTTAGATGTCAGCTTCCAAGTAGTCGCTCATTGTAAAGACGTTTGTCTTTACTGGTGTCTATATTGTGTGTATAGCTATACTTATAAATGTTTTGGGTAAGCATTACTATATGCAGTTTGCCTGACAAGTGTGCTAATACTTCCCCCAGATAGATTATTAGATGATTGCTGTAAAAATTTCCTACTAATGTTTTAAATATTAATTCTATTTTCTGACTGCAGGCATGTGACACAAGCTGACCTCAAGAGCTCCACGTTCTGGCTTCGAGCAAGTTTTGGTGCTACCGTTTTTGCAGTCTTGGGCTTTGCTATGTACAAAGCATTATTGAAACAGCGATGATTAAAAAAAACAAAAACAAAAATGGCCTACCAAAAGCAAATACTTTTATGTACATTCTGAATGCTTTAAATTCTGCTAGAAATATTGAGATATTTATACATGCAGAGTTACTTTATTAATGTTTGTAATTCATGCATAAGAGTATTTTACTGATAGTAATGACT